TATATTGAGCTGAAAATCCTCTCAACTGCTAAGCCCTTTTCTGCCATTTTTTAAGAATCTCTGAAAGTTTCAAGTTTTAGTCTACAAAATGAAAAGCAAAGTTCATTCACATCTCCCTTCAAAAGTGTTCTGAGTGATTCCTTGGTGGTTTTATTTTGTTCAAATTTTACATAGAAAATCTGATCATAACATTTTTTTACCAGGGTATATGAGTTTTCCTTGCTGAAAGATCTAGAGATTTGAGCATCATCACTCACAACAGACAAAATAATGTGTAGCTACTTTCAAGGATGTTACTGTTTCTCATTCATTCAACATGTTTGCTGAATCCCTGTTAATAAGCTTGAGGCATTGTGAGAGGCAAGCAGATGATATTCTTCCCCTCAGGTTCACTGACAATTACAAAACACACGTGTACTTTACTAGAGGTGTTATAAGGTGCTTCAGGAAGGGACAGTACAGAAATGCATGTAAGCAATTGTTGTTGGGTGTTATCGAGTCAATCTGACACACAGAAACAGAGGGTTTCTGAGGAGTGGCTGGTGGTTTGAACCGATGACAGTGTGGTTACGGTTACCACTACAGTGCTTATCCTACAGTGCCACACCAGGATGCCAAATGCAGCCTGTGTGGCACTGCAGAATAATACACTAGACTGTAAGGTCAGTTTGAACCACAAGGGCGGCAGTTCAAACCCACCCGGAGCTCCTCAGGAGCCTATATAGGATTGCTTTGGGTCAGAACTGACTCAACGGCACTTAACCAAAACAACAACACTTCAATATGCATAGACCCCAAGTTCATAGGCTTGGAGGCTTGGGGAACAAGTGGCAGAAATGAGACACAGTTTGTGTAAGCAAATAGGTACACCCTCATCTCTAATGCACATACGTTTGATGTGAAATATGCAGAACAGAATCACTGTCAAGTTAAACTATTATTCTCAAAACATCAAAAAGTGGTGGTGCCCCCTCCACATAAAGAGTAGACAGGGATGGGCAACTTGGACATTGGCTACCCAAAACGGGGGGAGGAGGGGACTACAGAGGCAAGAAGTGACTGGCTTACAAGCTTTCAAGAGGGAACCTAGAGCCAGAGGGTGTGGAGGAAGATAGAGTCTCCAGTGAGTGGTGTCCAGCCTGTCCAGGAAGGGCTGATGAAACGAAATATAGATGGGTCTCTTGTGATGCAATGATGAATAATTGTTATCAGGACTGATTGTGAGGGTTGGAAATCTAAAGATGGACATTTTATAGCAAGGAGGGGAGTGATTAACTTTTCAGTCTAGGAGCGGAGGGCCCTGGGACCAACAATGGAGAAGAGCGGAGAGCGGGACCCTACCCAGAGAAGAAGTGAGGCCTGAGATGGAGGCAGAGACGATGATATGGAGAGATGGAGTGGCTAGGGACTTGAGATCCAGAGAGGGAGAGGGGCTGTGTGCTGACAACCGGGGAGCGGGGGAAGGCAGGTTTGCAGGGTACACACTTTAGTTGGTTGATGATGCATGGGATGGGATTTTAACCATGGCAATGAAAATGATATATGATAGAATGAATGTAAAACTAATGTTCTCCCATGTAAACTATCACAAAATTCACAATAAAACATTTATTTAAAAAAAAAAAGATAAAGTATAGGTATTCTACATAATCCCCCACAAAGTGCAAATAAAATCCCCAAAGGTGGTGGTGGTGGTCGAGAGGTGCTGTCAAGCTGATTTCAATTTACAGAGCCCCATGTAATAGAGCAGACCTACCTCACAAGGTTTTCTAGGCTTGTTATTTCCAGGAGCAGATCACTAGCTCTTTCTCCAATAGAGCAGCTGGGTAGATTTGAACCACAATCTTTGGGTAACAGCTGGGCCACCAGGGGCCCTACCAAAAGCCGTTTTAAGTGTATAAAACATTTGTACAAATACTGACCCATGAGCCACCAGGGGCCCTACCAAAAGCCGTTTTAAGTGTATAAAACATTTGTACAAATACTGACAATAAGATAAAATATGAAGCTGGTCAAAGATTATTGACATTACTATATATATTCAAAACAATTTTGAACAGATTGTCCCACCAAAGGGGGGAAAAATAGCATTACAATAACACATAGAAACCTGAAATTTCTTGCTTTTCAAAATTAATGCAATAAGTTACTATAAAAAAATTTAGGCAGTAATGAATTTCCCAAGATAGACCTAACAATTTTTAAGTCTAAATGAACCTCTTTTAATTTTATGGTATGCAGTAAAGCACTTTCCATTTTATGGTATGAACTGAATGCTTTAAACTCAATGTTTTGCTTTATAGAATAACTCACTCTACACTAATAGCACTGCCATAATACAACCCAATACAAATAAACTCTGTGTCCCAGGTGAAAACTCCCAGCAGAAATGTCATTGTGAGAACTAAGCCTGACCCAACTCAAGGTATTTCCAATAGCCCAGATGCATGAGAAAGCTGAACAGTGAATAAGGAAGACCAATGAAGAAAGGATGCCTTTGAATTATGGTATTGGTGAAGAATACTGAATGTACCATGGACTGCCAGAAACCCATCATGCCTGGCAAAGAGGAGGCTTGGTGAAAAAGAGGAAGACGTGCAGTGAGATGGATTGAAACACAGCAACAGTTGTGAGACTGACACAGTGTCTGGCTGTTTTGTGTTCTTTTATACACACAACTCAGTGGCCCCTAACAACAACAGGTGATACTAATAAAGTGGGAATAAACTACCCAGACACAGTCTTAGGTTCGCTGAAAATAGGTAGCATGTAACTCATGCATAAATGAAATATAACAGGCCAGACCTAGTTTATACTCCTATGTCACAAAATTTTATAACCAATTAATATTTACTTAGTGATCAATGTTAGAATTAAATTCGTTAGTATTTGCAAAATGCCTAACAACTCCATTGCTATTATTCCCACTTGGTGGGTGGTGGTCATGTGCCATGAATCGGTTTTCAATCATAGCAACCCTGTATAGGGTTTCCGAGGCTGTAAATCCTTACAGGAGCAGAAAGCCTCATCTTTCTCCAGAGGAACCGCTAGTAATTTCAAACTGCTGACCTTGAGATTAGCAGCCCAACTCATAACCACTACACTACCAGAGCTCTTAATCCCAGTTAAGAGGTGAGAAAACTGGGGTTTCCAGAAGCTGAATGGTCCACAACCTCACACCAAGTTTAGGTGGCAGACCTAGAAATCAAACCCAGGTCTTCCCACTAAACTGAGTATTCCTAATAATTGTTTCTGAACCTTTGGGGTGGTATTTACAATTGCATTTTCTAAGGAGGAAATCTGTACACTTCATCAGATTCTCAAAGAGTCCTAAAATCCCCCAAAAGGTTCAGAACTACTGCACAATACCATTACCAGTGTATGGAAAGAAAGTGAGCTCTACACTTCAGCCATTTTCACCAAGACTATCACTTTTGTCCTACAGGGGTTGGAAAAAAGCTCCATATTTCTCATTTCACCATAAAATTCTCAGAGTAAATCAAGCTTTTCACTCCTAGCCAATTTCCAGCACTCTGTGCCACAAGTTAAATTACACAATAAACTGCAATACTGAAGCAGTGTACAATTCAGAGATTTTACAAATACTGACCAACATTATTTATTTAGTCATGTGTTTCAATCATCTGGAATCCTGATGTGGCACTGTGGGTTAATGCGCCAGACTGCAAAGCCATTTGAACTGCAAGGTCAGAAGTTCAATCTCACCAGTTGCTCCTAGGAAAGGCTGTATAGGGTCGCTATGGGTCGGAATCGACTCGACGGCATTCAACAGCACATATTCAGTCATCTAATCATTTCCACACTGCCTGTGAAATAAGCTATCATTATTGTATCTGCTTCCAAGAAAGCCATACACTGTCATCCTGAGCCTAGGATCAAAAGTAATAAGATTCCAGTTTCCCCCACCTAGATCCTTCAAGACTGTATCACTCAAGTCACACGCATCCTCCTAGCTAAACGGAAAACAAAAACAGGATACTGGACTCTACCATTCTCCACCAATGCTGACACTTAATTCGGATCTAGTTGTATATCATTAAGTTAGTATATACTGTTAGTTACCAGTCGTACGTGTGTTCAGCTCTTGAAAAGTTGAGACAGACATCACACACTTGCCTGGCATTTTCAAAAGGAGACATAACCAGCTAGAAACACTGGTACAGTTCAGGGTTTGGTCATCTCTCTGTCAGCTGGCAGTTTTATGGTGGCTGTGGTCAGTTAACTCCTAGCCACCAAGTGCTGAGATAACAGTTCCAGAGTCACTCTTGATTCTGACTCCATCCTACATTTCAGATCAGAAACAGGGAGTGGAGTGTGACCAGGTTGGGCAGGAACAAGACATTGAGATAAAGCATTTCAACCCCCTTATTTTACAGATTATATAATCTGAATCTCAGAGGAGTAACTCACTTACAGTCTCACAACTCAAGAGCAGCAGCATTCCTAGAGAGCAGGCCTCCAGACACCTGTCCAGCATCCTGTGAATGGGTCATGGTTACTGCCAGAAGCTTAGCTACAACCACCTTAAGGTTTGTTGCATTGATGCCAGGCTAGGACCCTCCTCCTCTGACTTGTGCCAGATCCAGACTTTGCCTCCAGGTTAGGGTCCCAGGAAGTTACTGCCAGGCACTGCTCTCAGCTTGCTTCTTCTGAGGGACAAAGTCAATTACTTACTAAAGTTAATCCCATCAGAGATGAGGAAAATTTCACTGTGTGCGGAGAAATTAAATTCACAACGAGACTCTGATAGGGTGATTATTTACTGTCCTGCCTGATCAAGATGACTTCCTTACAAAAAGCGCCCCAACAATCTACCATCTTAAGCCAGGAAGAACTTAAGCTTCCTTTACTGTCCTCCAGAGGCACACACACACACACACACACACACACACACACACACAAAAGCCACAGAAAACTACTAGGAAGATAACAAAGCTATACGTTCAGTGTCCACAGTTTGGGGCGAAAATCCTTTCAAGAAACTAGTACTGATAAAGTCCCCTAAGGGAGGTGGACGCTTCCCTATTCGCTTTGGCAAGGAGCGCGCATCAGGGCACCCTGGGAAAAAGTCCAAATGGGAGATTCCGGCGCCACCGGCCAAGTGATGGGAGTCCTCCTCCGGGAGTATAGGGGATACAGACGCCACCGGAACCACCCAAATCCACCCACGAGCAATCCCAGGGCGCCACTGAATCCAACTGTGCAACTTCGCAAATACCACTCCCAGCGGCACCCCATCCTCTGCACCCTTCCCCTGGGTCCAAGAGCGTGGGTGGGAAGCAGCCCCCACTTCAGATAATAAGATCTCAGTTGTGGGAACAGGAAAGACATCCAGATCATATCCATTCACAGACCCACAGAGGCTGATACAGGCAGTAGTTTGCGGTTTTGACATTTTAAAAAGCGCACTATCAGGCAGAATATGAACACACACACACGGAGGTAACAGCCACGGCAAGTTAGTGGCCCACTGAGAGGCAACTACCTGTCACTATCCGGGGCTGGAGCAGCGCGCCTAGGGGTTTCTTCCCCCTGCCAAGTCAGGATGTCCCCCACCCCACCGCCCGCGCTCAGGGTGGAGAGCTGAGGACGCCCAGCAGCGGAGACTCTGAGGGGGCAAAGTTAGGGAAGCGGGAACCCACCTCTTCGTCCTGTTCCTCCTGGGACGCGCTACTGCCCCCGAGACCCGACGGCGCGTTTCCTCCGGGGAGCGGCGGGGGTGGCGGCGGCACAACAGCTCCGCGATCCGGGCCCCAGCGCGCCGGACCCCACGCGGCTGGAGGCCGGATGCCCATGGCGCCGCCCGGCGGTGGCGGCTGCAACTGCTCGCGGGAGAAGCCGCCGGACTCCCCTTCCTCCGACAGAGTTTCAGAGCCCGAGGAGGACTCCGCCGAGGAAGCGCCCGGTGAGGACGCGGCCGCTGCCGCAGGGGCGGGAGTTCCAGCGCCGAGGTTACTGCAGCCGCGGGGCACCGGCTCCGAAGCCTCGGAAACTTTCTCCCCCATTTCCTTCTTGGGTCCAAAGTGCTGCCCGAGGGGCGAAGGGGCGCAGCGCGCTCTCAGTTCGGCTCTGGCTCGCTTTCGCTGTCGCTCCCGGACTGCGGGGAGCGCGGCCGGCGGCTACATGTCCACGGCGCTGCCGCAGGAGAGCTCCACCAAGTTAGCAGCCGCCCGGGCCCTGAGGCCGACAGGGATTCCCGCACACCAAGACATGCCGGCTGGGTCTGCGCCCAGCGCTCCACTGTCCTCCCGCGCTGCGCCCGAGCCGCTGGGACTGCGGCTTCTACAGCAAAACCTGCCTCCGGGACGGAGCGCGGAGAAGACGGGCAGCCCGGGGAGCCAATGGCAGGGCAGGCGCGCCGATGGGCGGAGGCTGCGACTCCCCCTAGCCTTGCGAGTGTCAGGTAGGGAAGGCGGGGCCGAGGCACCGACCCCAGGATCCCGGAGGAGCCTGAGGGACGCGAGTTGGTCGCGGACCTGGAGGGTTGAAATGGAGCGGGTAATCTGAGTCAACGGCCGCGACTCTGAACTTAAGCTAAGGAATGGTTGGCCCTTCTTGGGACCGGGGAGAGGCGGCCGAGGGAGTGTGAGATCTTGGAGAAGAACTGGATTTTATCTAGAAAAAGTGAAATCGAGGAAATTAACCAGAAGCAGCAACAGGGCTTTAGGGAAACACACACACTCTAACGTGAGGGAGTAGAAAGGGGAAAGCTTCGTAGTGTAGTGAATCCTAAAAGAGCTGAGTTCCCAAACCCCAATTCTCCATAGAAACTCCCTGGACCTCAATTTCCTCAACTGTAAATGGAGAAATTAATATCTATCTTGCCTGGGTATGGGAGGGATTAGGGCAAATATACAGAAGCTTCAGCGGACTGCCTGACTTGGACACCTGGAGAATTTTCAGCACTCTTTTTTTGTCTTTATTTTTTATTTATAATCTAAAAAGTTTTGTCAAACAAAGAGTTTTAACAGGGAGGAAAATAACAAATATGTTTCTATGTTTAGCTGGGACAAAAAAATATGTCCAGCTAGGCCAAGGCAGCTTCTCCACAATTCACCTTTCCAGCTTACTTTCCCCAAGCAAATAAACCAACAAGATGCTGGAATGATTGCCTCGCTTTACTAATCTTTAAGAACTAGGAGAAAGGACTTTCACTCAAAGGCACCAATAGAACTGTCCTTCCCCATAGACTGGAAATGGAAGCCTCATGGGTGATGAGGTGACTTGAATTTCCTAGGAAGACAGCACTCAGTTCAGCAGCAGGAAATAAATGCTTCACTTGCCTTCAGCTCCAATCCCATTCTGCACTCTGGCACCATGGCCTAGGATATAAATTCAACTAGATTCAATTCCACTGATGTTGATTGAGATGTGTGTCAGGTGCTTGCGGGGGTGATACAAAGATGAATAAGGCAGGCCCCCTGCCCTTGAGGAGCTTATGGTCAATTGAGAAATTGATACTGCATAATATAGCTCTATTATTAATGTTTTAAAGCTGCGATAAGAGCTACAGGAAAAAATGTGCCCTGGGAGGAAGGGGAGTGTGGCAGAATAACAGCAGCATGTCCTCACACGCAGGAGTCCTCAAGAATTGTCTATTTTTCCTTTTCAGTACAGCTTTGCTAAAGGTCCTTAAAAATGGAAGGATTGGGGCAAAAGCCCCTTCAGCCAATGAACTCTTTTATGCTCTCACTGTATTTACGAATGATCCATCATACAAAGTGCATCATCATATTGGACAACAAGCTTTGTCCTGATCAGATTTCTGCCCTCCAAGATGAAGGGGAACGAAACTTGATTCGACCTCATTGCCACAGACAGCAATGTAGCAAAAAAACGAACTCTGGCTGCCGGGCTTACATTGTGACAGTTCAGATTGAGCTGCAAGGATGTGAAGGCCTGCTGAGGAAAAGGACAATTCTAGTGACTTAGCTATGTTATGAAAAGCAAGACTGTAGAAACAGCACAGTGGGGTGGTCTGAATCCTACCCAGGGCCGCACAATTACTTTCCTAGTCAGGAGTATTGGTCTTTATCTGAGTCCCTGTGTGGTTGATTCTCTACAGTGGAAGTGGAAAGACGACTTGAGCAAACCATTCACAAAAAAGAGGAGGAGGGGTTGCTTTTTAGTACATTGTGAAAGAAGCAGCAATGGTATGGTCTTAAGTGCTTACTTTAAGAATGTTACTAGGTTGGTTAGCCCCAAGCGTCTTGTATGAAAGATTTCATTTAACCCTGGCAACAACCTTATGGAATAGATTTTTATCAACCACACATTACAGATTAAGAAACTGAGGATCTGCATAGTCAAATAACTTGTCAAAGTCACACAGTAAGTGAGACGAGGAACTGCAGATTGAACTTAGTCTGATTCAGGAACATTCCAATATAATGTCTCTAAATAGACATTTCTCAAATACGTATACATAAAACCAAAGGCAATCCACTGCCACTGAACTGATCACAATCTCCAGTGATCCCGGTTCCCAATGCTGTAAATCTTTACTGGAGCAGACTCCCACATCTTTCTCCTGCTAAGCAGCTTGTAGGTTCAAACCACAGACCTTTTGATTAGCAGTTGTCCACTTCAACCACTGTACCACTAGGGCTTCCTGAATATGTATATTGTTGCTGTTTTGTCAAGTGTTGTTGTTACGTTGTCCTTGTTAAGTTGTTAGGGTTTCCAAGGCTTAAAATCTTGGAGGAACCAGAAAGCCTCATCTTTCTCCCACAGGGCAGTTGGCAGACCCTGTGGTTTACAATCCAGGGCTTATTGTAAGGAGAAATATCCTTAGGGCAGGACCTTTGTTGTTTTGCTTCAATATGCAAAAGGAGGTATTTGGTGAAAATACTTTGTTTTTTTAATTTTTCTTTCAAAAAATTTTTAGAAGGCACTTACTATATGCAAGACATTGTGTTATACATTGTTATGTGAGGAATTTTACTTATACTCCTACTAAAATCAGTTTTGATTTATCTAAATCTTGAACCGAACTTTCTTAATTTAATTATAAACATCTTTCTTGGAGCCCAGGAAAATGTCTCTTCTAAGAGAACTTCTCATAAATGGAGATAGGTTTGAAAGCACTTTTTTCTTTTCAGTGTCACTGCAAGCAAGAGCCAGAAGAATAAAAATGGCTTAGTCATTTTTAGAATCCATTTATAATCCAATTCCTGGGGCCTTGGGCTGATCCACAGTGACTACAAGATCGGTGGTTCAAACTCACCAGCTGCTCCTCGGAACCCCTATACAGGGTCACTATGGGTCTGAACCTACTCGATGGCACTAAACAACAACAGAGTGTGAGAGGTAAGGTCCGCCTTCCCCCAAGGTAATCAGTCTGTCAATTGTTCTTTTGGGCATGCTCCAAAATGTCTAATACAGGGACAAGTACCCTTGGGCACTCATTAACAGCTCATTGTGTCTTGCAAAAGAACATTTGCCTTGGTTTTCTGGGTTGTTCTCCTAAACAATGGGGAGACATTGCTTATGGGAATCTATTGTCTATCAGTTTCTATAATGTAGGTGAGGCCAGGTATGAATGTCAAGCTCTGTCTCTGTGGGACTTTGGAGGTTCTAAACTCAGTCATCCCACTCATAGTAAATTCTTAACATTTCTCACCAAGGTTAGGATTAGGATTTTAAAAAACTATTGATTGTCCATTTTTAACAGTCATGAAATTAGAGCATCATAAACTCAGCATGAACATCTTTTTGCAAAATTGCATTTAAATATGCTCCTGATGATTTAATATACCAAGAAATCTTAAATACTAGATTATTTTTAGATTATGAAAATGATTATATTCATCTCTGATGGTGGTGGTGGTGTGCCATGGAGTTGGTTCTGACTCATAGCCACCTGAGGCTGTAAATCTTTATGGGAGCAGAGAGTCTCATCTTTCTCCCAAGGAACAGCTGGAAGTTTTGAACTGTTGACTGTGAGGTTAATAGCCCAATTCGTAGCCACTACACTACCAGAGCTCCTTATTCATCTCTAATATTTTGTTATTATTATCATTATTAATGATATATTTGCCTCCTCCCCATGTGACCAGTAAGTGTAATTTTGAACCAAAGTGAAGATTAATAAAAAGGTAGTTATTGAGGTGGCCTAGATAGAAGTCTTGTATCAAGTGGTACAGAAAATGACAGCTTCTGACCATCCTGCCAGAAGGAAAGCCCTCATACCCTCTCAAGCTTTCGTTTGTGTCTGAGTCTCTGGATAAAATAGGGTTAGAGTACAAGGTTTCAGAAGATAAGTATGAGTGTCTAAATAAGGGTTGAAAAGAATGCTTTCAGTTTCTCTGCATTGAGAGTCATGCTGGCCATTGGCATATATATATATATAGTTGTTGTTAAGTGCCATTGAGTGGGTTCCGACCCATAGCGACCCTGCATAGGGTTTCCGAGGAACAGCTAGTGAATGGCTTTACAGTCTGGTACATTAACCTGAGTGCCACACCAGGACTCCTTTATATATATATATTATATATTATATAGCTATGTAATGTGAAATGTGGTGCTATAGAATAGCATTGGCCTGCTAACCCACCTCCACTTCTTAGAAACCCTATAGAGGCTCACTATGAGTTGGGACTGATTTAACAGCACACAGCATCAGCAACAAATTAAAGTAATTTTGAACAAAGGAGAGAAAGATACTGGTCTGATCTCCTAAATCAATGTTCCCAAAATATATGGAACACTTGGCATCAGCTCATCAGATCAGGGTATGGTGATTCCCTGACACTCCCAAAGTCTGCAAATCTGCATTTCTAGATACCACCTCAAGCAAATATATACCATTCGTTTGTTTGTTGTGCTATGGTGGCTTGTATGTTGCTGTGATGCTGGAGCCTATGCTACTGGAGTTTCAAATATCAGTCACCCATAGTGGACAGATTTCAGCAGAACTTCCAAACTAAGACAAGGAAGAAGGAACAAGCAGACTACTTTTGAAAAATGAATAACTGAATTCCTTATGAACAGCACTGAAACCATA